AGAGAGAGAGAGAGAGAGAGAGAGAGAGAGAGAGAGAGAGAGAGAGAATATAAAATTTAAATTTATTATCAGCAATATTTCAAATTAATCTCGTCAATAAAAATGCATTTTTAACTGAGCTTTTGGTTCTTTTTCGAAAAGTGTATAATTTGTTTTATGATATCTACTGCTATCATCCACCGCAACATTAGAAAATTCTGCATCAATTTCATCAATCCATAAGACATCATCTCATAAAAATTGAAAGAACAATATAACAAAACGATGATTTTTAATTCAATCTTTTATTAAAGCATCTTGTTTTCCTTGTAATTACAAGTTGTTGTAATTCACAATCATGGAGTTTCTGGTAACGAAACGAAAGCAAGGTCACGCGCATTCTTTTCGCGATGCTCACAACTATACGCGGTCATTCAATTGTGATTTTGCTTAATTGCGGTTATCGGCTTGAAGGCGCCACGTAACTCGATATCCTGCGCACGGACACGTCTGGCTTGCAATTAGCGTATTTCAGCCACGTTTTCAAGTGTGCGCGATCGCGGCTATATGTTGAGTAGCGAGAGAGAAGTCCTGCTGACAATTCTCTCGCCGCCCGCATAACAATGGCCGGCTTTTCCGGTCAGGCACCGGATCAGGAGGAATGACGGCGTCGTGATTAATACGACGCCCGTACTGTCGGCGTCGCGACGCCGCTCCTCTCTTTTCCGCTTTTCCTCTCGCGCGTAAACCAAGCCTGTCATAAGCCTGTCCTTTGTGGAATTTTCTTGACGCCCGAATCATTTCTCTTACGTAGATTTATGTCGTCGACGTTTTTAAAACAGAACTAGCGCTCGTCATGATGTTCACCAAGAACGCATCATTTATTATATCTCTATCGTAATCCTTGAATTATTAATATTAACCCCTTTACTGTCAATGTCGTGTATACACGTCATGGACAAGGCGGGCTCAAACTGCTAATGATGTGTATACACGTCATGATGAAATAAATGTAGAATGTCGCGGACATTTTTGACCCACTTTGTGATTTTCGTCTAAACAGTGAAGTGTTATTTTCGAAGAATTCTACATTGCTTATAATATCTCTGCTAGAAAACTTTTGCCCGATCTCTCTAACATGATTTTTAACGATACTTAATTAAATTAATTTAAGTTTACAGTTTCAATATGGCAAACCAGAATGCTTTTATCAAACGCAAAAGATGTGTAGAGATATGTGTGTGTGCGTGTCCCAATTTTAAAAAATACGATTATAAAATTCAATCATTTTTAATAACTATATTATGTTAAATATGAAAAAGTAAGTCTATAACTTTTTATGTATGTGGTTGTTTGTGTACAGTTATATTCAAAAGAAATTTTAATAAAGTGAAACTTTTATTTGCTCGCATATAATTTGACGAATAAAATTCTTTTTAATATATAGATTATTCGCTTATTAACGCAATTCATTTATTGCTAAACAACAGTAACAACATAACGATAATATAATTTTCAAATTCCTTGGCTTTGTTCTACAACTTTATAGCTTTATGGTCAGGAAGAACAGAGAAATTTTTTTATGCGCAATAAATCTATTTCTTGCTTGAAAAGTATTGCAACGACTGATAATATAGAATAAATAAATAAGACAATTTTCGAGCAGATCGCCAACGTAATGTTAATTTGCGAGTTCCAAATCACTCTCCTTTCCCTTCGCGTCTTTCGATACACCGCACCGCCGAGAAGCGATGTTGAATCGACATGAATCATCGACATGCAGTGACACAAATCAAATGAAAAGCAGGAATCGAATACTGCGAATCAACTCGGCTTGTCGCTAAGTGGAAAGCACCCAGAGAAATGCGACTCATCGACGAGTTTCAATGTAAATCGCTCGGGACACCGTACGCTGATTACAGTTACACACTCATGGTCGATGGCATACTCGAGATCGCGCATACAACTCGTTCGGCTTCTCTCGAGGACGTCGCA